GTCGCGCATTATCTCTCCTATAAATGCATACTGACGTCCGTAGTCACAGAAGTGATTGGAGATCAGCAATAGAGACTCCTGCAGAGTAACGCGATCCATTTTACTAATGGGATGCTGCGACTGTTGAAACAGGGATTTTACATGAGAATTGATTTGATCAAAAACGGGTAACAATAGCAGAGGATATTTATGGCCCAATTTCACTATAAGAGAAGCAGCATGTCGACGAAGATTTTTGCAGGCTTGAACTCGTGGTGTCAGCGGCTGTTGATGCGATGGATTTGGATCGTTTGGATCTCGGAATATTAAAGCATTGAAAATTTTCTCTAAAACTCTTGGCAGCAACGATACACCACTCATGGCCACACAATTGTTGGGTGTAATTTGGCACGATGACATGCTTAGGAACACAAAGAGAGCTGAAATGCATGACAGAAGTATGGATAAAGTCAATGGGTTGTCAGTTTCGAGTTTCAAGCAGTCTTCCAGCAATCGTAGACCAGCTGGTACTGAAGGACGTTCGGCTACCATTAAAACGCGACTAAGGACGCCATCAAGTACAGAAACTAGGGCTTCCCATTCTAAATAGCTGGGATCCAAAACACTGCACTGCACATTGCCACGTTCCGAATGAGCCTTTGCCAAACGAAGATTTAGCCACTGTTCACAATATGCAAACGTCACTAACGGCTGTACTAATGTGGATTGCCTGAATATTTCCAAGAAATCTGTGCGACATCTATAAAAGAAAACAGCAAATTCTTCTTCAGAATCATACTCCAGGCAGATGTATGAAGCTGTGGAGCCAACATTTGGACCTCCACCAGTTAAACAACGGGCTGTCGGATAAGGAGTCTTAATGATGCGCGGAGCTACTGCATCAATTATTTTTGGAATGTAGGAAACTAAACTGGGATCCTTTGAGATGGCGTCATGTTTCAATAGAACATTCCATATTAAAGCAGCACCATGGGCCACATTAAGAGATGCATGACGTACCAAATACAACAAACACTCCAGGAATATCTCAAGGTGTGGGGGTCTCTGAATTGTTCCTTCTTCTTTGCCCCATAGCAACACTAATTGTTGTGCCATGCCGCTAAGAACTTGAACTAATTTTTTCAGGAATTGATGATTTTGTTCCAAATTAGTAACGCTGCTGTCTGCGGGTATCATTTGTGAAGCCGAGAATATATAACGCATTGGTTCTTCTCCAAAAAGCAACAACAAAGGTTTACGTTCTTTCACCTGACCTTTGCGATTTGTTATCTGTGAAAGGCATTCGGCAGCATTGCACTGGAATGCTTTATCGTTCAAGAGAATGCACAAAATTTGCAAAAGTTTGCCATTATTACAAGTAATATGATTTATAGAAACCCATTCCACAAAGCCAGTCAATGTTAGTAGGACAACTTCCACAACTCTACTGTGGGCATTCGCTTTTTGAAAATTTCCCTGTCCAGTGGCCTCACGAAATGATGTCACATGCAATTCCACGAGACGCAAGAAAAACTCAAATATATCATTCATGTTATTGGTCAAGGCCTGGTACATGTCTTTTCTTCTTTGATTAGATTCAATTGTTTGTAAAAGCGCAACATCTTCTACAAGACGCAAAAATACCAACAGAACTAACTCTGTTTGAGCCTCACCTTTTGTACAGGCATCAGACAATTCAGCTAACAAAGTGGTCCACTGTTGTGGCCATTCTCTTTTAATCATTTCTACGATTATACGAGACACTGCGTCTTTTAGATGTGAAAGTGATCGATCTTCTGCCGGACCCACGCCCATTAATAGTAGTTTCATTGCATGCTCCTTAATGAATAATTTTTCTTCCTGTGATATACAATTCCATTTAAATTTAATGGTATACTCCATTAATTGGAGGCCAAAATGTTTCACATTTTGCGAATATTGACCGCTGGCGAGAAATAAACCAACCTGGGCACAAAGAGGACTTTCCTCCTTGAATCTTTCGCATGCCATGTACGCCTCCATACGGGCCTGCTGAGTAGTCTGTGGATGCATGATTAGCTCTACAGCTTTTGACAATTCGTCTGCCAAAGCAGACACGTTATTATGTTGTGTCATCTCCAAACGCAGTACTATATATTATTTTTTGCTCAGCGAATGAATTTCAACAGCTTCTTAAAATATTGCAAATATAGACGCGTGCTGCCTGCCGTATTGTGGTGGTGTTATGCTTGTTCTTCCTTTTTTTCAAACTAATTTTTATTATTACTAAAAATGTTTGGCTATTTTAATTTTAAAATTACTATCTTAGTTGTTTTCACACTATTTCTTTGCTATTTTTTTTATAACGATTAAAAATTTTATGTAAAAATTCTCTTGTATAAATTTTTCATAAAAAACACCAACTTCATTCACAGCAAAAAAAATGTGTGTAGAAAAAATTTACTTGTTCGCAAAGTGTATTAATAGAGTCGACAGTACTTCTAATGCAACAAACATACACAACAACCACAGCCAATTGTGTTTGTTATACAGCTACATAGCTGTCAAAAATTGCCCGTTGTTTTTGTTCTAAGCAGACATGCTGTCAAAACTTCCCTGTTGTTTTTGTTTTTCAATATTAGAAAAAAAAAATCAGCTATGCATATGCTGCCACTGTATTAATACACTTTGCTTGTTCGTAGAAAATGAAGTTTAGGCTAGAGTTGCCAGTTTTATAAAAATTGCATATAAGTTAATTACAACTTATTTCGTATTTGTGCTATTTTGGCAATAAATTTCTTAATGTCAAGTTGTTTTCATATAATTATTGATGAAAATGTTCCTGTTAAATAATAAAAAACCTTTATTTTGGAGTAATAACGTATTTAAAATACTGCAAAAAAATAAAACCGGCAATATTATCTTATGCAGAGCGCTGCGCCGACAAACATTATCGAAGGCTGCTAAAGCTAAAAATATCGGCGGCGGCCTACAATCGAATTAAACCGGCAAATTTTGAAGCTGCTTTTTAATTTTCTACGATATTAAACAAAAACGGAATCCGAGGGATTGAAAAGTGTTATTCAGGAAGCAAATATTTTAAAAATCGTTATTTTTTAAATTGTCATATATAAATTTGGGACTTAATAAAATTTAACATAAAAAAGCAATATTTTACTGCGTTGAATGTGAATGAAATCACTTTTGATATTTTTCCCATGTTTTTAGAGAAATCTTATATACAATCCTTTTTGATATTTTTGCCATACTATTAGATAAATTTTAATCACATATACTGTCCAACTCACTAGGAAATCTTGAAACCCGAATACGTTTAGCGACTCCCTGATGTTCTCTATTTTAATGTTCTATCTAAAGATCTGTCAAATACTATACAATTTTTGAACTGTATAATATTTCGGATTTATGAGTTTATAAGATTAACAAATAAAAGTTAAATTCAATCCGAAATATTTCACTACGTTTTAACGAATTTCACGTTGAATGTAAACTAAGGCCTTTGGGTCTTTGGCTAGAATTCTACGGAACCTAGACATCTCATTAACGTTGCCAACAGATTCACAGTAGTTCCTCCATAATATCTATTTTGCTCTCTTGAGGTCTCCCTTATACTCATTGAAACTCATTCTGTAGTTGTTCCAATCCTTTGGAAGTCTGGTAAGCTTGGCCCTATTAAACAATATTCGACCTCTAATCACGTGATTCTCTAGTCCACCACTTAGGTTGGAAAATTCATATGGCAGGTCCCTAAAGGGTTCCTGCTTAGATTTATTCGAATTCACTGTGAAAGTAATCCGGCTATGGTCAGAGAACGAATAGTCGGTATTCACTTTCCAATCACCTCACCTTGTTTATTACGTTCTGTTTGTGCTACTTGACGAGGTACTTCTCCTTTGATGAGAACGACGCCGGATCTCTCTGCTCCATCTTAGTCAGAAAGGCAAGAGATTTCCGGGTGCCGTTCTTTCCCTGTACTCTTTCGTCCTACCAACAGTAGCAAGAACTCGTGGAGGGACTCTAGGCGACACCTACATGGCGGATTGTCGAACGAGATCGGTGTCCTTCTCCCCTTGACCTTCTTCCGAGAGGCTACTTTGGTTCCTTTTGTTAGTAGAAGGGGATGACTCTGTCTTCTGTCCATGGGCGGACACAACCGTGATGTCATGTTCCTCGTCAGAGGACAGTCCCATCTCCCCAAACTTCTGTGCGTCGCTGGATTCTCAAAATGAACTTTATACACTCCTTTAAAGCCAGAGCCAACCGCGAGTAGAGGTTTGAGAAGACCAATAAGATCAGAAAACCATCACAACAGAGTGTACGTAGTCCCTCGCATCGCGCCAAGATTGTTACCTAGGCGATGGTATATACCATAACATTTTTAGGCAGAATTCTACAACGAATCATGTAAAGCCGTATAGAGCCATGCAAGTTTACATATTGTTTATAATACCTAAGATCAGGAAACAGGCTAAAGAATTCTTAGCTGGTGTGCATTGTGTGTTTCTTTATAGACGGATAATGAATTAAAGACTACCTTTTACTTTGAAATTTACAAAATAAGCATATTTCAGAAACTGCAACAGTTAGAGTCCTAAAATTTTGTGTAGACATTTTTCATATCCAAAATGAGTAGTAGGTATCTCCGAATGTAAATAAATATGTGTAATTACTGACGAAATAAATTAAAAGTTTAATTATACCTAATTTTGAATAATTTTCTATCCATTATAATCACAATACATAATAATAAGAATTATTTATTATAAATGTAATTCTTTTTATAAATGTCTTAATACTAAAATGTGTCTGAAAATTTAAATAATTTTAAAAATATTAAAAAAAAAATAAATCAAACAAACGTAAATTTTTGATCCCGATATTTACAGTATTTGCTTCGAAAGTCTCACTCTGTTATCACTCACAATCCGTTTTCATATAAATATTTAGAAAAAAAAAAAATAGCTGAAAATTTTGCCGCCTTACAGTCGATTTTAAGCCGTCGCCGAAATTTTTATTGTCAGCCGCCGTCGCCATTAATCTTTGTCGGCGCAGGGCTCTGGCGCGAAACGTGAAGTTTGTTGAGAGAAAGATATAAATAAATAAAAAATTAAACAGAAATCATAACATCTAATTAAAGTACTATTAAGATCTATAAGTTTCCAAATACATATCTCTGTTAGATATTTTTGTTGGTATCATGGAGTGGCACGATATAGAAGTTGATGGCCGGCACACAGTGAAATTTACAGATTTGCCGTATGTGCCGTTAACGAGCCCCCCTCAATCACCAGATGCTGAGGAATTGTTTATAGGTTGGTCTTAATGATTATCAATAATTTTTAGTTGAAAACTAATATTTATTGTATTTGAAAAGGTCAAAAAATTGGTGGTATTATACGGCATGGTGAATGGGCCTGGTTGGCTAGAAATTCGGTGTTACAAATTGTTTCATTGCGCAATGGTCAAACAATTTCTAGTTATGAGTTTTGTGAATCCCGTGGCTATGAGAGTTGCTGCATTAAATGTGTGGAGGAAGTATTTCCCAACAATCCTGAATACATGATGTTGGCAGTAGTTCTCGAGAGCTTTCGTGGACCAGGTGGCGGTGGTAGTTTTGTGGCCTTGTACTCCGTAGAGTTGAGTAGTGTTTTGAGTTGTATTGAATTAAGTTTACACATTACTTGTTCACGCTTTATGGATTCGTCGGCTTGTCGTCGAAGTCTTTTGCAAAATTTTGACGGTTGTTTGGCTGTTGGAAGTGAGGAAGGTGTTATTGTTTTACTCGATTTGAATATGCAAAAAATTATGTCACTCCAAAATGAATTGCAAGAAGATAAATTTGTTCCATGCCACATTGTTGATTATAGTTTGTCCTTAACAGAAATTCATCGCAATTTTCGTCAGTGTCAGCAGGATGGAATACATTTTGGATTGCAAATGGAGGGTAAGTGAAAATATTTTTTTTATAAACTTTGAAATGTAATATGTGTAAAAAATGCGATACAATATTTTACGTCTGCTGCTCAATATTTCACAATATATTCATACATACAACTAGTTGCATTAAAATCCAATCTAATTAGAATATATTCCCGATTTTCAAATTGGAATTTCTTTAAGTAAAAGTTTATAAAATAATTGATAATATCTAGTTAGATTGTACATGAAGATGATGACTGATGTTTGTTACACACAAAAATGTTGGTCCTATACCTTCTTCAATCATAGAATAAATTTCTGATTCAATTTATGCTCGTCCGTCCATGTAAACCTTGTAAACGAATTTGTTCACGTTAACGAATCTGTTCAGTTTAAACTCGGAAGAACAGTACATTGAATTGTAGTAGTGCCTCTGGTGAAGAGTATCATTATCATTACTGTACAAAATTTCAAGCAATTTGTTTGCTTTTTGAAACGGTAGGTGCAATTGAAAAGGACGCTTATAAAAAATTCTGCACAATATCATGAAAAATGGCTAGGGCGCATTGGAACATTTAAAATACCTTTTAAATGGCCAAAATTACTGATTTTTTTGTCACGACCTCTTCCGAAAATTTATAGTTCGTACTTTGTTTTATTTTAGTGTTTTTTTTTTTAAATGCTATTATTTCAATTTTATACGGTAAAGAAAATTAAAATTAGATTTGAACTTGTTGATTAGTTTTTCTTAACGTTTTCACTAAAAACTCTAATCAAAGCTATTGTTTTAATTTAATTAAAACATTTGAATATGTTTTTAACTACTCGACATGTGTTTGGAAAAACAATTATATTTTATTTAAAATAATCATTAAATAAAACAACACTGTTATAAATAATAGTTATTATTATTATTATTTGTTAATTTAATTCTAACAGTATGTTAAACTATTTTTTATTTAATGATAAACTTAAAAAAATACTCCATATTCATTCTTCGACAGATAACTCTACCTTCCCATTATGTCAACACATTTAGTATTGTTTGTTGTATTATGTATATATTTTATTCTATAATTATGTATATAATTAATTGATGTTGTTTGTTATGTTTTTATATAACAATATTTTTCTTTTCAATCTTTAAAATTAATTAGAAGATATAAATTACATTGCTAGAGGAAAATGTATAAAACTACATGAACTCTTAGGAATTAATTTGATAAAGTCACTTTTGTATGTTGCTGTTGTGTAGTTGTGATTGTTTTAAACTATTACTTCAACTTTGATCAAAATTATTTAGTTTTACTCGGGATTCATTTGTACATCTAACATTCCACAAATCATAAATGATAAATCTTCGCCGGCATCGACATCTTCGAATGAAAAGTTACCAGAATTTACGGCTGCTTGCATGTATGGCGGTATATAGTTGTAATAATGGTTTTCGGAATTTGTTGGCGTTGGGTCTTCTGGTGTGATTTCTTCGTAGGTCACATCATTGTCATCGTCATCTATAATGTATGTGTTTTGACTATATGAGGCTTGCGGCCGACCATATGATTGAGGGGCATTATACAAATGTTTGTTATGATGACTTGAGGAGGAGGATGGTGATGGCATTGACGTTGCTGGCGACAATGTTGCTTGTGTCTTCATGAGCACTATTGTTTGTATATGTTTCGGTAGAATCTGTTTGATATTATGCTGTAGATGTAAATGCTTAACGATGTTAGTACGATGCATTTGTACATAATTGCATAGGGTACATATCCTGGCCTCAATTTGCATCGATTTCGAATCATGTGCATAATCTTGTATAATGCCGCCAGCATCGGGACATCCTTGTGTTTGATGTTGGTTGAGTAGAGAACGAGTTGGTTTGCGTATACCACAACCTGAACAGCGATAAGCATATTCCCCTGTATGCATGGTAAAATGTTGATACCAATAGGGCAACATAAAACGTGACTGTTTCTGGCAAAATATACAGAATGCTTCGTACTGGAACTGGCCGTTTTTGTAGAGACTGACATTGGAAGCAGTGCAATTGCCCTGTTTAAGTAATTTTAGCTGTGATGAAGATAAACGCGAGTTATAGACTTCGCAGCCTCGGTGTTCATTTACGTAGTGATGTACCAGACGCTGACAGCTAAGATTGCAAATGACACATCTATCTTTATGTTTGCCGTGGACATGCATTTGTGGATCGACGTTTTTGGGCCAATAAAGTGGGTCAATGTTTGAGGGACTGTTTGAAAAGTAATTGTTCTCTTCATAGTCATCATCGCCTGTAATTATTTCTTCCTGTTGGTTTCGGCTTGATGTCCTGCTGCTATTTCTGGGACTGGGGTTGGTGCTGTGTCTGGTAGGTAACTTAGATGTTGGTGTATAATACTCCTGCTGTTGCTGTAATTGTTGTTGTTTTTGCTTCTGTTGCTTATAAATACGATGTTCCTTGGGCTCATCATCGTCGGATATAACCTGAGTATCGTCGTTTTCCAGATTTTCAATCCACGTTGCCTGCAGTAGATCTTCGGCATCATTGTTGGCCGTATACTGTCTTATACTAGTAGCTGTCGCTGTTGCTGTATTTTTAAATCGTAAACGTTGCGTTGAAGCTGAAATAAATTTAAATTAAAGGTAAATACATTTCTTATACATTTTTCGAAAATCTCAATATAATTACAATTTTTTGTGGAGTTTGTTGATGTTGTAGGTCCATCTATACTTTTGGCGAAAGCCTGTATAAATGCACTTTCAAATGATTTGGCCTGTTGCTGCCTTTGCTTTTGGGCCTCCAAACGTTTTTGTTCTATTTTGCGTTGTATCTCTATTTGGGCCAATTTTTGATCGTCCTCATCGTCAATTTCATACTCAGCCAATAAGTCATCTTCATTATAACTAAAACTGTTGTCTAAACGCTTTGTGCGCTTTGTACGCAAAGATCGTTTACGATCATCGCCTGTTTCGCCGCTATCTTCATCACCATTCTCGGAAGCAGACATGGCTTTTGTTTTAAGTTTCGATTTGTCGGGTGTATACTCGTCCTCATCCTCTTCAAGTTGCCGCTTTCGCGTTAAAGTAGTTGCATTGGCATTAGAAGACGATGGTGCGGAAGTAACAGCAGCATTTCCTGTTTTGAGTGTATCAAAATTGCAAGTTTTTAAGGTAACTTTTCCACTGATGGCATGGGCCATAAGTGCTACAGTTTTTCCATGTGCCGAAGAACATGTCAACTCACAGAAACGACGCCCATAATTAGTTAATTTCTTAACGTTTTTCAAAAATATCGTCCTTAGATCTGTCATCAATTGGCCATTAATTTGATTACTGGCGTTTTGGGAATGACTATTCATGTTGGTGCGTAAGGTTTTTATGCGAACGAAATCCTTGTACTTTAGAGCTCTTTGTAAGAACACGAAGCAGGAATGTGTGGCCACAAATTGAGGTTTACAAAATTGATTTAGAAAATTTTCCAACCATCTACAATAACGTCGATCTAGATCTGTGTCAGCTGTGCCTCTAACGTTGGGTGGGTTGCCGTAAAAAGCATTTGGTATAATAACATTTTTATTAGAGAGTAAAGCAGAGAAAGCTGGAGGATTGGGACCCGATACTGAAGCTGGTTGAAGTTGAACGGCATTCAAAAAATTTGATTGGGGCGTTGGAGGTGGTAGAGGTGGAGGAGCAGGCTTTTTAGCCTGTTGTCTTACATGTGGTGCAAAATTGTTGGGTAGACGATTACTGCCCGGATTTGTAGTCTTGCTGTTAGTTTTATAATAATTTCCTTTGGCTGCCAATAGAGTACGTTTTTGAGGAGTTTTTGGCTGTGGTTTACGCGATGATGCCGACTCTTCATCAGAGCTATCCAATAGTTCAATGCAATCGACTATGTGTTGTGTTGATGGAGCTGCCGAAGATCGCTTGTAATTGGTGGCTTTTTGCAAATAACTAAAGTTTTTAGGTTTATTTCTTGCTTGTGACAATGGACTGTTGTTGCCTGGACTTTGTTGTGGTGGTTGTGGAGGTTTGGCTGTTGACTTTCTAGCACTTGTACGTGTTACAATAATATTTTTTGGTACAGTTACTGTTGCAGTCGGCGTACTAATAGTTTGTTTGTTATTATCAGTCCTGATAATGTTCGAACTATAAGAAGTCTCAGTGGTATCTTTAGAATTAGCATCATCGTCGTCTGATTCTATGCAAATTGGAGAATTACGTGTTTCAATAAATTGTACTTCGTCATCGTCATCATCGTTGGCAGCCTTATCGACTTCAGCATTATTTTCCAACGAGTTTTCATTTTCAACAGCCTTAACAATGTCGGTATCTTCGTCGTCTTGTTCCAAATTAACTGTATAATTCAAGGGATCATAAAGGGTTGTTTGGCTGCTTGTATCTTCATTAAGTTGTTCATCATTTGTATTGGTTTCTTCAGTATTTTTGATACCTTCTTCTATAGCAACCAATTCCGGCTCGATTGGTACATTTTCAATATCTCTTTCTTCTTCGTAGTCTTTCGAACATGTATCATCTTGTTGATCATTATTTAGTGATTTTTTGTCACTTTCTTCCTCGGCTGTAGATAACTCATTTTCATCTTTTTCAACGGCTTCACTGCTTTTGGTCGTTTCTTCCTCGTGTGGAGATGTGTCCAGGTCATTATCTTCCGTCTCACTGTCTTTTGTTATATCTTCTTCCTCATCTTCATTAAGGGACTTGTCAAGGATATTATCATCTTTATCGTCAGTCAAATCTTCAGCTTCGGCTTCATCGGGTACAATTATTTCATCAACATCTCCATCGCCGGGTATTTCAACATCTTCGACATCTTCATATTCTTCAATTTCCTCTTCTTCATCATTTGCTACCATTACGCTATTTGTTTTATTATTTTCGTTTTCTTTTAAAATGTTTGTTGCGCCGTCAACTGTTTTCGTCTCATCATCATTTTTTAATAATGATTCTGTTTGTTGTTCAACAACCGGTTCGGGATGCCTATTTTGGTCTTTATTTACTTCATCTAAATTTAGTTTAGAATCATTTTCATCCAATTTATTTGTGTTTCCATCATCAGGTTTTGTTTTTATTTCGTCCACAATTTTCTTTTCATCGTGATCGTCAATCTTTTTTTCATCATCGGGCATATTCACATGCTCTTCGATTTGTGTTTTTTCTACTTCCTTTATTTTTGCTTCATTTTCATTCTGTTCTGTACTTGTTGTATTATCTGTAGAAGTAATTTTTTCAATTGTTTTTATTTCCTCGGAAATTTCATTTGTATTATTGAATAATTCTGTAGTTTTTTCCGAGTCTATTTCTTTTTGGGCATCTGTGGGATTACCATCTTTTGTAGGCATTTCATCGTTAATCGGATTCATTTTTCTTATTAAAGATTTCTAATTTTGTTTATTTTTTTCGAAAGAAATTTAAATTTAATAATAGTTGAAATTATTTCCTTTAAATTTAAGTTTTTGTTTTCAATGCGCTTGTAATATGTGGATAATTTATTCTAATCGTGTGTTTAATTAAAAAATATATTTTCTTTTAAAATTAAAATTTAAAAAAGTATTTAATATATATATGTTCGTGAATGTAACAACTGTGAGGAAAAATTCCTAAATGAACTTTATGGACTATAGACCCTTCTATTTGATGGACTATTTTCCAAATATTTTTATCTAAAGCTTAGTTTAATCGAATTTGATATAAACGGATTATGGCCTTATTATTCTACCTGTCACACTAAACTAGTTTTAAGTTCGAGAACTGTACGTAATTTCTTACATATAATACAATTTAGGTTATAAAGTCACACAGAAGTAACTTCCACCCGATTATGTAATCAAACTGCTCGCTGGTTTAATTGCCAAATTCTGATCATTCTTTGGTAAGATCTGTTCCTCGTAAAAGCACCCTCTATGAGACAATTTATTGAATAAATTGTACCTATTCCGTATTTTTTAAATTTATACTCTCGTCTTCTCTCTCGACATTATATCTACCTTAAACCACTTTAGTGGGGAGTGTATATTGTATTTGTGCAGATGTTTGTAACACAGAAAAATATTGGTCCTATACCCACCTTAAATTATACCTATCGGCTTAGAATCATTTTCTGAGCCGATTGAGTCATATCCGTCTACATTTCAAGATACATATGTACATAATTTGATGAGATTTTGAACATACGCAATTGTTACCAAGGACAAACGAAGAATATTGAAAAGGGTTGAAATCGGTCCATTATTTCACCTAATCCCCATACAACCGGAACCCCGGATAATAACTTTAGAGCTTATAAAATTGGCATAATTTAGTTCTGTAATGAGCGGAATTCATTTGACCTTTGTTCCCATACAAAGTCCCCCTTAGAAAATAGCTTAATATTAATATTATAATGAAATTTGGCATAACTATCTCTTATATAAACATAAATGCCTCCTCTAAATTTTATTGGATCGGCCGATATTTTACCCTAGTCCCCATTAAAGCCTTAAAGTTATATAAGTTATGCCAGTCTTTAAGTAAATAAGCGATATTATTTACATAATTGAATACATATGTATTGAAAAAATCTAAAATCTCTGCCAGCCGACCGATATTAAACTATATATTTTCTAAATGTTTCGGACTACATAAATTGCCACTTAGTTCCTTCCATTAATCCCAAATAATCTTAATTATCATTTTTAGATTGTGTAGATATAAAAATAACTTAACATTAATTAAAATTATCTGCATTCCATTATCTATTTTTTCAAAGAAATCCATCCTATTTCCCTTTTTAACGCTTTAAATGTTTTATTTTATTATTTTGCACACTATAGGGCCACTGACTCGTATACTATGTGTAGTTTATACATAGCACAGGCTGTGCAATAGTGCTTTGTGACGTCACATAATTTTTGGGAAGCCACACTGTAGTGTGTTACTTTTTCCATTAGGGATATAAAAGAAACAAACTCATTTTACATTTAAAAATTAATTAACAACTGTAGCAGAAAATTTCACCTGAAAAATTAATTTCTAATTATTAAAAAAAAGTAGAATTTTGCTGAAGAAAAAAATTTACATTCACATTTTATAGATGTTTTTTTTTTTCTTTTACAAAAAGCCAAAATGCTAAGTTGTTTAATTTTGGTGGCGTTGGACAGTGGGTCTTAGGCAATGAAATAAAGATAACAATTTCATAACATAACAAAAGGTCGCTTGGATTAAATACACACATGGTTTGTTTAGCAGATGGATTTTCTATTGTATTGTTTGTTTGTTTAGCTAGTTAGTTGTAAGCAAAATCACAATGTTAGCAAATTGTTGCAATTTTAGTTTAGAATTACTACCTACTATCACCTGTGATTTAAACAGTTACATGTTTTAAGGTATTTTCATTTTCTACAATATTTTGGTATAAAGTATTTGGAATTTATTTATTTTCCATAAATAGTTTTCACAAAATCTTCATTTGTGATTTGTTTAATTATTTTTATCAACTTTTATTTATTTGCCGCCTTTTTCTTAGTTTTTGCCGTATAATATGAAAACATAAACAACATTCGCTATTATTTCTTTATAATTATAATTTTTTTCACACAAAAATACTGAACGCCTTTTTTTGCTTCTCCTAACCCACTGTACATTTTTACCCAGCAGTTTGTCTTTCTGACATAAATTTTAAGTTTTAAATACACTAACACAAGCATAGGAAAAATACACACAATTACAAGCGACAAAAATGAAGAAAAATTTTTTTTACCAATGGAAAATTATGGCGAGAAGTTTTATAATTTTTTCCTGCACTTTAATTATTTACACACATTTCATTAATGTTAGAATCTTTTTGTTTTTTTCTGTTAATCAAAATATAAGCTGTCAAATTAATGACAATCGGCAATGTTTGACTTTGTAAAGGAAAAAAATAATAACAAAAACAATTATCCGCTTATGGGAGATGATAAAACAGACACAGCGCCTCTGCTTGACACAAACACACTACCTTTTTAATATTTCTAAAATTTTTCACTTTGTACACATGGTTGTATCCGTAAAGTAGTAAAACAAAGTTTTTAGTACATACACTCAAAAAAATATTCATAGAAAATTTATAAAATATATTAAAATACTTGCTTTAAAACAATATTAAATAATTAAAATTTTATTTGATTTCATATTGTCATTTAATTTTTTTAATTTAGCATTAGAATATCGTTGTTTAAATACATACACGAATATATAGTTATTTGACAGGCATTTTTCTCTAGGTGTTTATGGTGTCTGCCTCGCAACAACCCTTTTTTATAAAACTTAATTTACCATGTTGTATAATTTGGGTGTGTGTACTAAAAACTTAAAGTGCAAAATGCCAGGGCTGTATGTATTTAATAATTACGAATAATTTTTCCGTTTTATATGTAATATGTTTATTTACCTAGGGGTTATTTTATGGAATTTTGAATGAATTTTTTTCTGCACTTTTAATTATTATATGTATGTACCTATAACACAATAGCTAATAAACGATTTATAAACTATTTTTTGGGAATTGTATGTTTTTTTTAATAATTTTCATTTCGAGTAGGATTGAACTTATAGAAAATGGGATTTTCAAAGGCTATTTTGGATAGAATATTTATAATGGGAACAAACAAAGATCACCACCACAGGTTGAAATTTTATTATACCCTACACTACTTTAGTTTGTATGGTATATGTATTGGGTTTGTGCTGATGTTTGTAACGCATAATAATATGGGTCTTATATCCATCTTAAAGTATACCAATCGCCATAGAATACATTTTTGATTTGATTTAGATAGGTAATCAAACTACAGATCGCAATTAAAATACTAAGGACGAAGCATTAATTCACCTAGCCCCCATACAACTGAACCCCCCGAATAGATCGTTTGAGGTCATTATTATGTTTAAGATACTCGTATCTTAGCAAAAAGCTGCTCAAATATGATTTATACTAGTCTTAAAGACCCTGCCGAATTTTGTAGTGATAGGTCCTCACTTGACCCTAATCATCATACAACGACCCCTTCAGAAAATGACTTAAATGTCCACAATTCAGAATAAATACATGTAATTCAAATTTCCTATAGGGGCACGTCGTTAAATTATTTAAATTTATGAAAACATGTATCTTTTAGGACCTAGAATAAATTTAATATTGTTCAAACTAAAAAAAAACAAATTTACTTATAATTTCTTTAACATTATCCTAATATTAACTTGCAGTCATCGAAAGCCCATGTGCAATACAATGCATACTACCAATAGATTTAATATTGGGCCTGGCAATAGGTCTAGAAGATGGTCGTTTAGCATTATATGATCTAGCAGAGTTGCAAATATTTTATGTTGCCTTGCCCACGCCAGAGGTAACGATGTCAGCATTAGTTAAAATGGATTTTCTTGAACCACCAGATGATCCACGACCCTGTCTGTATATATGGACTCTTCATGAAAATGGCGAAAATTTACATGCTGTTTTGCATAGTTTAATGTATGAGAAACGTTTAATGGAGGAAGATGAATCTACTACATATTTTGAGGTAAGTTTTAAAATGAATCTTAAAGTAAAATTACAATTTTATTGTTGTTCCTTTTTTAAGTCATTTCAAACTAGTACGGTACGTTTGCAATTGCCTCTGGAGGCAACAAAGAGTGTAGCTTTAGCATGTCAAGCTATATCTACATTATCCAGTCACGGTGAAGATGACTCCAATTGTTTGTGTGCCATATCGTGGTTATCAGTGCTGGAGGGTAAGAATAAACTATTGATATTTGATTTAAATCAATGGTATAAAGAAGAAATGCCTTTTGTGCTGGAATATGGCAAACATCCAAATTATTTGGCTGGTTACATATTAAATGGAGAATGTACCGGTTTACATGCTCTACTAAATCCCAATAATATTGCACATTTTAATTCAATGCAAAGATTTGAAGAACATTTTTATCCCAACTCTTTAAGTTTTGGTAAGTTTGTTTATAAGCTGAAGATAAATGAAACAAAAAGTAAGTTGTTGTTATTTATTGCAGAGGGTTCATTACTCCATACGGAAGGTTGTAGGCGTTACAATTGGGAAGGTGCTCAAAATAGGGTAATCAATCTATTAAGATCCAGTAATGCCGCCATCTTTTTGGAACCTAACTTTTATTTTAATGAAATTTTGCGCACTCGTTTAATGCCTCAATTTACAGATTTGAACTTGAATTCAACATTTTCTCGTGTAAGTTTTCTTGTTTTTGAAATCAAGATTCTTTTTGTACTAATTTTAATTTTTTGAAGCATGCCAAATATGAAATATTATTATCAGCGGCATTGGAGCATAATTGTGTTAGCTTATTGCGAGATTGTGCTAAATCATGGATAGATGGCAGTTTTATGGGTAACTTTTCAACTTCGACTGGTTTGTCTCTGTCCACCATAACTGACTGGATATGGAAAAGGGCTACTGCAATAAAAGCCAGATGTAATGATCTCTGCAAAAGCCTGTTTGAATTTGGCGGCTATCCTTTGGATAGCAGAGAGCAAAAAGAATTAGGTTTTATAACACGACAACTGAAATTGTTATCAGATCTTTTAAAATATGTTTTGGTTTATGCTAAAAAACAAATTCCCGAGAGAGGTATTTACTATGGTAGAAGAATCAAAAAATATTTTACCTATGATGTCATTTTAAATTTTCAGTGTACAGCGATTTGGAAAATAAACACAGTTCTTTGTCTATGGCCTCCAGTTATCAAGATATATTGTTGTGGCTACTGAATATTGGACTTTTGCCAGAAGCTTCTCCTCATAATGATAAAATCAATGCTGGCAATGATTTAGTGCCCTATCCTTACACAGAACTCAAAGAATTGTATAGAAATAAACGTTCGTATTTCGCCAAAATTAACGAATCGTTTATATCCAAAAAATCCGGCAGTTGTAAATTACTCTTTATCGATTCATTTATCGAGCATGTGTGCAAAGGGAATATACTACATGAGTATTGGTTGGAAAATGAAGGTGATGGTGTATATCCTCCCAACTCGTTGGAAGCTATGCTACGTGTTATGCTGGTACCCGATTTAGAATATGAAAACAAATGTGCTATTTTGTTGTATTTCTTTTTGGATTTGAATATGGCCATTGATGAGGAGGTCTATAAAGATGTGGTGGCAAATTTTATTAAATTTCCCAGTGTGTTTAAACTTTCGGCACCTTTAATCAAGACGGTGCAAGCTTTTTGGAATTTGGATCATGATCAATATTTGGTAACTACAAATATCTAGTTATAGACTAATTTTTTTCTTTATTTAATATGGATTTTGTTATTTTTTTTTAGCCTGCCGTTGATGAGTTCATTTCGCCTTTCAATAAAAATCAATCTTATCCCCAGTGGCAAGTTGAGTTGCTCATCGAAGTTTTGTTAAATCAAAATGCTAGCAATTTGGCTTTAAGAATTCTAGAATCACAGCCTTCGCTTATCTCGCCCCTACTTAAGTTGAATACATTATTAGCCAATGAACTTATTTCGGAAGCATTCCATTTTGTACGTTCCAAAAATGATGATTCACTTTTGGAAACTTTTTTCACTTGTTGTCTTTGCAATGGTCAGTTTGGTGTTATCAGGGATTTAGCCTTGAGTGAAAGAGAAGGTTTAATATTACAGAATATACTGAAAAGAAGTAAAGCCCCCGGAGCCGAAAGTCTACATTTCGTTTATTTACTGCAGAAGTCGAAATATATTGAAGCTGTCTCATACATGGATGAGCTGGCGAACAAATCGAAGGGCTTCAAAAGTTCATTGCATCAGACTAACCAAATGGAAACTCCAAATTTGGTATTGTCTGCCTTCAACACTACCATGACCCCCGTTACACAGGGTTTGACAGATGTTTATTTTCGTATAAAAAATAAAATAAAGAAAAAGGAAGTCGATAACAAATCACCGGTTCCTTTAAGTTGTCAACTCATCAAACAAAATGCTAATAGTTTGTTGGGGGGTATATATCACAGTTCGGCTTTAAGTGCCCACTTTGCCACTTATTATTGGGGTGAAATGGAAGAACAAACTAAGCAGGCAAAACATTTGCTCAATTCAAATAATGCTCCTTTCTTGAGAAGACCCCAAATCGATACCAATTGCATAGATCATTTGGCTCAAAATAATATATCTTATCCTCAAGCCTACAAAATCACCGAGAAGCGTTCATTAGTTGAAAGTGAAGTGCTGGATAATGAGAACGATGAATTTGAAAGACAAAAACTTGAAAATAAATTAAACCCCAAAAAGAAGAGACGTTTAATAGGTCAAGAAATTGTCGATGATTTATCACTCTTTATGAAAATGAATAAAACTTCAACAAATGTTTCGGAATTTACATTTGGTCCGGAACAAACTAGTCAAACTGTAGAACAAACTAGAAAAAATTCACTAGATTTATTAGCACGTCCCTTATTAACTAAACCTGTGGGTTCTAGTCAAGAGGCCGAAGAAATTGCAGCAAATGCACCCGAAATACATGGAATTCTTAAGACCAATACACCAGAACCATGGCAACAGCAACGTGATCAGCCCGTAGAAGAAGAGAAGAACTTACGTTTTAGACTTCCTTCTGCAGATGTTAGCACTACACAAATACGCATAGAGGTGATGCAAAGTGAAGATGCAGTGGAACAAATGGATGTTACTCAGGAAGAGGCACAAAAAAGACCTTGTTCAATCTCAGGTTCACCGAAATTGAAGCAAATTGCAAGAGCTGTATCAGAGGAATCAAACAAAAGTTCTATCAGTTCCAGCAACCAATCAGAAGAGAATTTCTATTCACCTTTGTCATCGCAAAATAATTCTAAATTGGATTGTTCCAATCTTAGTAAATACAGCTTCATGAGCGGACCTCAGCCAAGAAAACCTTTAGCCCGGCTCTCGGCTGAACGTTCGGAAAAATCACTATCCCCTGAACCTAAAACTAAAGACACAGAATTAACTTCTGTAAATAAATCAAGTAATTTGGGTTATACCACAGCCTTGGAGTCATCATTGAAACCTAGAATTTCTCCTAGAAGATCATTAGAAAGAGTTAGTTCCGAGCGCTTGGAGAAAACAGATCAATTTGTTAGAAAAGAATCGAGTAATGTAGCTTACGTCACAGCCTTCGAAACTCTAACGAAACCCATGTCAATTGCTTCATCCAACTTCAAAACAGAAGTTACTCAAACGACCAGCGGTTTTGGCAGTATTGCTTCTCATGCCACCTTTGCAGGCAGTAAAATCAATGAATTTTTGCCAAAAGTATCTTCATCGAAAGTTGGTACCGTTCCTCCAGCAAAAACCGAGGAAAATAAACCATCATCTCCGGCCAAACTCTCAGAATGTTCCACAGTTTTGGGCTCTCTAACAACATTCGAATGTACTAATACTGGTTCTAACAATGTATTCGCTATGCCCAGCATGCCTATGGATAAAGTAAAGCCAAATCTAGACAAGCCCACCGAAGAGCAGAAACGTCAAATGTTGGAAACCACTTTAGGCATGAGTACATATGATTTTTCAATTTTGGATTCGACTTCTTTGCAACAAACTAAATCATCTTTAATGGTAACAGCAAAAGATACAATTGAAATAAAAGAAGCAGAATTGGCAGAAGATGAGAATGAAGAGATCGAAGAAATGGAATGCGAAGACCAAGATGAAGAACAAAATGAAGAAGAATCCTCTGAACAAAAGAAGGAACATTTGATTGAAATACAAAAGGAATCAAATATTGATTTTAGAGAAGAATCAAATGATGATTGTATTGTGTTATCGTCATCCTCATCGTCGTCATCTTTAACAAATCAGGAAGAAGATGAATATGCCAACAATGATAGTGAAGATGAAGAAAATTCCGAAATTGGTGAGAACATCGAAAGTGATGACTACGATGAAGATGGTAACGATGAAGAACTCTCAATCGACGAAACAGATAATCCGAGCGATACCGAAAATGAAGATGTCATACAACTCATAGAGGATTCTTCATCCGATGTGCGACAGCAACAAGACAACTATTATGAAGAAAGCGATAGTGACGATGTTAAAGTCGTAGAATACGAAACAACACCTCTAGCTACTGATAATGCTGAAAAAGTAGTCGATAAATTGGGTGTTGTGGAGGATGTTGAAAATAATGACATTATATCTAATGTGGACAAAGAAGAGAAATCGCATGTGGATGAGGCACAAATTGAAGAAGAGGATGATGTAGAAGTTGTAGCTTCTACTTTAGAGCCATTGCCGGCAGCAGAAAAGTCTGAAATAGACGCCATAAATTCTACTCAAAAGCCTGATACAATATCAATAATGTCTAATAAACCAGCCGAAGTAGATATACATACAAGTGAAACTGTTAGTACGACCACTATTCGCGAAGAACAAGTTTCAGTAGTTGAAATACAACATGAGCAACAGGATGAAATGATGGATACTTCTATTAAGTCAAACGTGGCCGAAGATATTGAAAAGGCAGTGGAACTACAAAATAAAGAACAGGAGAAAACAGAAAGTGCAGAACAGATAATTGAACCAGAAAATGTGTCGAAAAATGTTGAAGCTGAAATAGTTTCATCTGAAAATGTGGAGTCTCAATTATCAAATTTAGAAAAGGTTGAAGAATCTACCGAAAAAGCCGAACTAATAGAAGATGAACCAATGTCCCTTATGGTGGAGGATTCAATGGACGGTTCAGATTCTAAAAAAGAAAAACCAACAGAGCTTAAATTAACCGAAGAAGAGGCAACAGAAAAGCAGGAAGAAAAATCAGCAGTAATCAAAGAAACGGAAAAATCTAGTGAAAATATCGAGGAGAAAAAGGAAGAATTAAAAGTAAAGGAGCTTGAAAATATTGCTGGCACATCCGTATCAACGCCACGCAAACGACGAACTTTAAGGGGCTCCTCAGTACCTCCTTTGGACTTAGAAGTAGCTGCCGTTTCTTCGCCACGCAGAAATACACGAGGCATATCTGTTCCACCACAAACAATCGCAGAATCGGAGGAGTTTTCCAATCTTACGCCACGCACTCGTCGCAGTGTAAGAGCAAGTTCCTTGCAACCAAAATATAAAATGGATGATGGCGAAACTGAAACACCGCACAAACGTGAGAAAACACAAGGGCCGGAAAGTCCTGAAACAAATTCCAAAGCAACACGGGGATCATCTGTTCCTCCTGGTGCGGCTGCTGGCAAAGTGTCTACACGTCGTCGCTCAGTTCTATTGGATGCTATTAATGAAGATCCCGCAAGTCTGGATTCGCCATCCACACGTACTCGCTTAAGATCGCGTCTAAATTCAATGGATAGTGAACAAGATTCATCGATAGTAAGTGCTAACGATCAGTTAGTGCAACCAAAACGCACTCGCCGTACATCTATATCGAATACTCTAACTGAATTGCCGCTCACACCCAAACGTACAAGACGCAATAGCATTAGCTCCCAGCCGGAAACCAATGCAGCCCTTACACCACGCACTCTTAGAAGTCGTAGTGTTTTATCGGTGCAAGAAGAAGACTCTGAGAGTATTCCAGCTTCACCAATGGCAAGTAGTAGCAAAAGAATTGGCAATAAACGTAAAAAAAGTGTCAGTGAAGACGTACAGACCGAAAGTCAGGAACAAATTGATAAAACTTCACCCAAAAGTGAGCAATCACCAGTTTCTGAAGTTTCATATTCTACATCACGTCGGCTGACACGCACCCAATTGGCCATGATGGAAAAATCGACTGCGTTGTCGCAAAAATTGACCCAAGAAGCAGTGGCTAAAGAAGCAAATACAATTTCTCCACCACCTAACAAACGCACAGCAAAAGCACGTTCTACACGTGTCTCCAATGCTCATGCCGATAGTGATGATGCAGAATCGGTATCATCGAAAGTTAGTACTGCCTCGAGTGTTACTGGAACCAAACGTCGCGTAACAAGAAGATCCATTAAAGAAAAGGTATTTCTAGCGCATTCTCCACCCATTAAAATGTTATTAATGCTTTCTCCATTTTTAGGATGAAATTGATGATGATGGTGCTAGCGTAGCAAGTTCGGTAGGCAGTGAAAAGCATCAAAGACCTCGTCGTTCAAAGGATAAAAGTTCGCCTAATACAACTTTAACTGCCATACCAGAAGATGGTAAGTTTAAAACATAATTTTTATACAACTGAAAAGTTCTTATGTACAGTAGGTTGAATGTTTTGTTGAATATCTATTTTAATTTTCTTTCTTATTTTCTAGCACCCATTGAAACCAAGAAGCGTGGTCGAGCTGCTAAGAATTAATGTATTTCTGGGGACATTATTTTTATTGTTTTACAATAGGATCGGATGTTTTGATTAAATTTATTCATTGATGTTTTCTTTTTGTATTTATAATGAAACAAAATTGTCAATAAAATACAACATTTTTATATACATACATACATTAATATGTACAATACTTTAATTTAATGATTTCTTGTTGTTAAAACTGTACAGTTATCTAATCAAAGGGGTTCTGCGAAGTGATCTTATCTTAAAAATTTTGCCGATTCTGCAGTATTATCCCATAAGTCCACTGTATATAGTGATATGTGGTTTTGTGCGCAGTCGAATATGCTCCATTCTAATCTCTATGGCAGGTTTCCTTCTGTGTCTGTTACATATGTGCGGAGAGTACATCATGTATCCTACGAACTCTGTTCTACTGAGTGTTACCAATTTTTGTAGAGATACTACAACATTTAACATAATTATGAGGTCAAGAGCCCTATTCGGGGTTCCGGTTGTATGGGCGTTTTGTCCTTGTACTAAAGGAGGAGTTTATGTCAAATTTCATCAAATTATCCTAAAAATTGCGACCTGTAGACTGCGCGCAAGGTTTACATGGACATACAGACAGGCGGGCATAGAATGTGATTCTGAGCCGATTGGTACATGTACATTAAGGTGGGTGTAGGACCAATAATTTTTTGAGGCCTAGAGCTGCAAGAATTTGACATTCAAGATTAATGCTTATGCAGAATACAAAAATGAACTCATATTGGACCTGAGACCAATATTTCATCAAAATTTCCGAACAAAATTTCTACTACCCTAAAAGCAATATGTATAAATAAAAAACCCACTTAACGATTTTGAAGATTCTAACTACAATAGTTTTCCAGATTTACAATATGTTACATATGAGAGATGTCAAGCAAATTATTGCAAGTTCGCCTGTTTTTATCCATCGCCAATTTCTATCTATCTATGAAAAATTTGAAAAATATAAGAGTTTCCAAGATACACGAAATTTTGTAATTAATTCATATATGTGGTGCCAAGCCACCCATTGAAAGTCCGCCCGTTATTCTCTAAATGTTCCCATGAATGTCAAAGTTCTTCATGTAAAATTTGAAAATTCTAGCTCTTATAGTTTCTCAGTGGGAGCTTCAAGCTCCCCAGATGAAAGCCCGCACTTTATCCCCCGAACGTTCAGATGAATATTAAATTAATTTGAGCAAAATTTTAAGAATCAATTTCTATTAGTTTCCCAGGTAAACGAAATTTTATATTTAATTCATATGGGAGGTGCAACGTTCCCCATTGAAAGTCCGCCCGTTATACTCTAAATGTTCAGATTAATGTCAAAATTCTTCAAGTAAAATTTGAAGATTCTAGCTCTAATATTTTCTCAGATATACGAATTTTTCTATTTAATTCATATGGGAGCCCCCCCAACATTTCCTCCAAAATGTTGAGATGAATATTTAAGTTCTGTTTTGAAGAATTTAGTTCCTTTAGTTTCCCAGATAAACGAATTTAATTAATATGGGAGGAGCCGCTCCCCTCATGGGTAGTCAGCCAATATATTACTCAAAATGTTTAAATGGATGTTAATGTTATTCGTGTAAAATTTTAAGATTCTAACTGTAATAGTTTCCAAAATAAACGAATTTTTGTATCTAATTTATATGGGAGGTGCCACGCCCCCTAATGCTAGTCCGCCTACTTTTTGTCCTAAATAATCATATTGACACTAAAGTGGCTCCGACAAAATTTGAGGACTCTAAGTGTTATATTATCTCAAATATACGGAGTTAATATTTTCTTAATATGGGCGTGGCTCCCCGCCCACTTGGGATTTCAAAATAAAAAGTAGCCCATTATTTTTATATATTTAATATATATACATATTTATGTATTAAGTATATATAGATTTATCAAAAATATAGTTAATACATAAATATATAAAAATAAGCGCAGGATAACAAGACCATATAGCGCGTTCTATCAAGATATGTACATTTAATCATAATGGGAAAAGAATAATACTAAAATTAATATAACAATTCATTAAAATAATACAAATAAATAGAAGGTTCAGCTCAAAAAGTTATAAAGAAAGTTATTTGAAATACAAAAGTTAAGGGGGTTATTTTTTAAATCCCTTCACCTCACTTCATTTTTCATATAAATCATAATAAAACAATAATAAGGTAGAATCAGTAGAAAAGTACGTTCTCAATTTTACATGCCTTGAATTGTCACAAAAAAGAAAATTAAAAAATATAAAGAAAAACATCAAATAAAAATTATTGAAAAAATTTTGTTAAGAAAATAAAATTGAATAATTTGAATCAAAAAGATTGTAAAACCAATAAAAATCAAAAACAAGGCACAGAATTGACAACTCTCCCTACTGATTCTACCTTTCTATGGTTGTATCATGATATAAATTGTTTTTGTATTTTCAAAAATTTGTATGAAAATATTTTCAACGCATGGTGAAGTGTTTTACAAAATTAGGGGGTAAAAGTATATTATTATAATTTTAATTAAAATTAAAAATAAAAAAAAAATCATATATCCATTATATTATGTTTAGCAAAAGATTTTAAAATTCTATTAATTTGCCGAGGTTTAGAACAATCCAAAATAAGCTCAAGTGGCTCCGACAATCTGGATACAGGACAATCCACATGAATGTGAGGGACATTGATAACCACTCCACAATGACAGCAACTTAAAGGACTACAATTTTCAAAATAATGCCGGGAGTTGAATAAACACTTTCCTACTCTAATTCGGGCGAGCAGGATACACTGCACCCTGGAATACTCATAATGGTAAATGAGCCTAGAAAGACACGGATTATGCTGTCTCAGAAAACAACCACAATTTATCCATTCCCGTTCCAATATATTCAATTGGGTATGTTTAAAGATGTTGGTAATACAAACTTTGAAACATGGCATTTCCGTTGTCAGTGGCATATTAATCGCTTCCTTTGCAGCTTTATCTGCACGTTCATTTCCAATTATACCCAAATGTGAAGGCACCCACAGAATAAACAATGGTTGGTTGATGTATATTAGGATTGTTTAGAATGTTACAATAGGACCCATTCTTGCCGTTATATAAAGCCCTTACTGCACTTAAGCTGTCAGTACAAATCACAGCCTTCTGATTATTTTCTACAGCATGATCAATTTCTGCAATGATTGCAGCAAGTTCAGCTGAAAAAATACCAGAATATGGAGGTAATTGGCTCTGTTTGACCACCACCCAATTAGAATCGGGTTGGCGTTGAACCACTGAGTACGACGTTCTTCCATCTTGAAAGGATCCATCCGTATACAGTTCAACATTAGCAGAAAAATTATAAATCTTTTCCATTGCCATTTTCCTAAAAATGTCCGGACTGGTGTTAAATTCTGTGAGAGGATAAACTAAAGTCTGACGGTTTTCTGCAAAATCTGCCTTTGGCCTAGATGGTAAAGGTATTCCAAGTCTTTTAAATAAAAAAAATGATCTTATCTATTCCACAAATATTTCTTTTATGACCAGAATAAATTTTTTGCCAGAAAGTTTCATGCAGACCATCATTCGGATCTATAATAGATCTAGCCGCCATATTCACTGATCTTCTATGAAGCAATGTGTAAAAATCTGGTGATTTCGATTCAATTCGAAGACATGGCAGAGGTGTTACTCTCAAAAGACCGGTAGCTGTTCGAAAACAATTATTCAGGGCAGCATTCAATTTTCCGATATTAGTTTTCGAAGTCCATCCATATACCGTTATACCAAGCTGTTTCAATATGGGGGCCCTTCTTCTTAGAACATATCAACTTCAGGATGTTATTAATCTTACCCAGTTTGGCAATCAAATATTTAATATGACAGTTCCACAATCAATTTCTCGTAAACATTATACCAAGGATTCTTAGTTCATCTTTGCACTGATCTAATATTATTAGAAATAGTATCATGATTTCCTGATGCCAAAGCAAAAATATTATCTGCATATATACCAATAAAATCTATTCCAGGCACACTCTGAACAGATCTGGCTAAAGAATTGACATAGATGCTAAAAAGAACCACGGATAGTGGTGACCCTTGGGGTACGCCATTATGCAGATTATATGGTTTTGATAAGTGTCCATCAATTTTCACCTTAATTTGACGATTACACAAAAACGAATAGATAAACTTAATGACTGGTAATGGTACACCCCAATCACGCAACTCATCAAGAACAAATATTGAAACCATACGATCAAACGCCTTTTCAATGTCTTCAGATAGTACTATACTGTGCTTTCCTTTCGATAAATTCTGACGAAGTTTGTTCTCCAGTTCATGTGTCAATGAGTGGACACCATATTTGGGTAAGAATGCATGTTGAATTTGTGAAATTTTACTTCTAGTATGCCGCCAAAACCTTCTAGCCATTATCTTTTCCAATAATTTCGATAATACAGGAATTAATGATATTGGTCGATAACCTTCTGTTCCATTTGGGTTTTTCCCTGGTTTCGGTATAGGTGACAACAGCGCAATCTTCCAATCATGTGGATATATTCCATTTTGCAAAATTTTATTATACAGTTTAACAATTCGAAATTGCAGGGGTTCGGGAGCATTTTTTATCATCGAATATGTGATCCTATCCATAGATGGTGTAGTTCCTTTAACATTGCTAAGTGCCTGCCCAAGTTCATCCTTGGAAAGAAAAGTATTCTGGTGGCATATGTACTCTTCAAATTCATTCATATAAGTACGCTTTCTCAATATGGTATTAGTATCAAAATTGTCGTCTGAACCACACCAAACTTGAGCAAATTTATCCGCAATGTCAACTGGATTAGATATAACAGCGTCATTATCGATCAACGATGAAAAATTGCATCTTTTCTCAGTTCTAATACCTAATTCTAATTCTAGACCATAGAGTCTTAACATCCAACATCGGGTTGAGAGAGTTTAAAAAATTACTCCATGTTTGGCGCTTTGCTATTTTCGACTCCCGTTTAACTAAAGCACACAATCTTCTAAACTTTATGTCATTCTGCTGACTTCTATGCGTTTTAAAGAGATTAAATGCATTATTCTTATCCTTGATCAATGTTGCAATAGAGGAATTGAACCAAGCTGGGGAATTATTTGAACGAGGTATTTTACTCTGTGGTATTGTCTCGTTTGCGGATTTCCGAATAATTCTCTTAATTTGAGCAGCATCTTTATTAACATTCGGAGATTCAGGGAATTCCATTATAACACTATTTACCTTCATCGAAAAAAGTGACCAGTCAGCCTTATCATCTAAAAACCTTGGATGGAAGCGTTTCTTGTATGTCTGGTTATTATTGCTTATTTTTTATGGGAAAATGATCCCCAGTTTCCAGAATTTGCCATTGAAACATTAATAGCAGTCAATGTGTTCCTCGTATTAAGAATTGTGAGAGAGCCATCATTAAGAATTACCAGACCAGAGTCATCAGCAAAATTCTCCCAGAGAGCTCCACTAGGTGACAAATTCTGAGAACCCCAAATGGAATTCTGTGAATTTAAATCCCCAACAAGTAAATGATGTCCATCATTAAAATTTCCTATAGCGTTAATCATTTGGTCTGTCAATACTATTTCACATTCCTTATAAATGTTGGTAATGTATAAATTGGTACTACCCTTAATCATAATCGTTCGAAACAAAAGTTCGCCAGAAGATTTAATATGCTGGGTAACGTGAAAATTGTTCAAAACTAAAAGAGCAATACCTGATTTGCATATTCATGAGCCTTGTTGTGGTGAAAAATTTTATAGCCGGGAAGGTGTAAAAATTTCAAATTTCTTGACACAATGTGTGTTTACAAAATTTTATGTTATCTCAAAATTGTCCAAAATGTCCTCTACATTAGGGGGTACTTGTCTCAACTATTGGGCTAGCCAAAGCAAAACCTAACATATTAGAAAAATCTTGACGTGAAATGAAATTTCGTGGGATATTTGGTTCAAAATTTTTGTTTATTTGTGTCTTTATTTCAAATTGTTATTATTATCTTATATTGGCTTTTACGATGTTTAAAAAGCCTGGTGGTGATCCCACCATGATGATAGATGTTGCTTCTCCATCATCAGCCACAACGATAAACAATCCAGCCTTTAAAGAACCTAGAACTAAAAAAATAATTTTATAATATTTTACCTTATAGATCTAGCTTATAAAACCTTGACCGAGACCAGAAAATGCCTTAGGTATACAAAATCCCGTGAGGTAATTCACCATAAACAGGGAATTTTAATTCTGCTTTCAAAAAAACAAAGATTGTGTACAGATGAAGCTGTTCACTTGTTTAAAAAATGTTTAAAGTAATAATTTATTTTAATTTAATAGTGAAATCTATCTTTAATATGAAAAATATGGGCCAATCCTTTTTTGGTAGAGCGATTTGCGTTTACATTAAAGTTATATAGGCAGAATTTCATTGTGATATTAGAGTTTATAAGTGAATTTTGAACTTCAAGTAATTTTCTAAAGGGGACATTGTATGGGCGCTAGGGTCAAATAAGGCCCGATCATTACGAAAATCGGAAGTATCATTTATACTTATATAAAACTAAGCCTTGTCGATTTTAGTAGAGACACAAGAACATTTAACATAATTATGAGCTCAAAAGCCCTATTCGGTTGGTACGGTTGTATGGGAGCTAGGCGAAATAATGGACCGATTTTAACTATTTTTCGTCCTTGGGTCAAAAGAAGAGTATATGCGAAATTTAATCAAATTATCTTGAAAATTGCGACCTGTTACGTGCGTACAAGGTTTACATGGATAAACAGACAGATAGGCGGACATAGCTAAATCGACTCAGAAAGTGATTCTGAGCCAATTGATATACTTTAAGGTGGGTGCTATATATAAGTGCTGCTTTTTGATGTATGTGTGATTGCAGTGGCATGAACTGAGGCTGTCTAAAATTACTCTTGAAATTATTCCGACTTTGCCCCAATTTGAGTTCCATCGGCTACAACACCAAAATTTAACCTTAGATACTTCCATAGTTCAATTGGTGAAGGATGTTGCTGAGGACTTTCAATCACTATTGGCTGACAGCGCTGAAGGCTTTCTTACCTTAAAGGGCCTTTGCTGGCTTAACCTCTGTGATATCTGAGCGTTTGAAGAGAAGAGCCTCGAAAGTCTACGCGGCATGTGACAGAATGGATATCGTAGCATAACATTGTGCTTCCATGTTACAATTCTGAACCGTTCTCTATTCATTATTGTGTCTTATTTAAAATTTCAGGTGGTCAGTCGTGTGATCCACATTCAGGAAATTGAATGTTGTCAGGACGTGTTAAACATTCGTTATGGTGAGAATCACTTTGGGGGGTCCTCTGTGACCAAAGAAGCCAAAAAGATGGCTTAAGGAACAAAATTGATTTTCTATGAGAGCATCAGGACTTGATTTGGAGGGTATTTATCATATTTCACATATTGGAATTCGGAAGCTGATGCAATTTTTTTTTGTTATTTGAGGGAAACGTTTTCAAATTAATAATAAGCTGGATACGGATAATTTCACAATTCCAATGGATTATGTGAAGCTTGGATTTAATTCTGACGAAATTTAGACTTACATTGTCTTCGATTATTCCAAGACGGAGGTATCGATGTACTATCTTCACTTCGTCAATGTCACAAATAAGAGTGGTCGCCAGTTGAAGGAATATGTGTTTGAAGTGTGATGGAACTGATACTTGTGCTGATGAACCCATTAGTTTTTTGTGTGATATATACTAAATGTGCATTGTTATTACACGCTGGTGGCAATTTAGTACATGGTTCTACCGGTCTATGTACATGCACTTAATTGAAGTACCCGCGCTATCTGATCTCTGATCATTACTGCCCCGTAGCTTAACTCCTAAGATGCAAAAACATCACTTCCGTTTACAATCACGCAGATGGGATGGCTTGTGTTGAGTTGACAACAGTACCTAGAGACATAATCGGTAGACCGAAACACGAATCCATCAAATATGTTCTTGTTCTTATTCACAGAGAACACACTGTGGCAAATCTAGTATGAACAGAATAATTTCTGAACATACCCGTGCGGAAGAAAAAGAAGTAAGCTAAATTAGTATGAAAAATACCTTAAATAGGGTAGTTAAACCTTGTTGGACCTTAACAAATTTCCCAAGGCTACTGGTGTTTGGTTAAGAGTGCAATTCCCCCAATATTCTACTCAGACTTGGCACTGCTGGCAGCATCCTTCCAATTAAGGTAAGCTGAAGAAGCTTCCTCCAAGTTAGCGGGAGCCTTTTTCCTAGCCCCGACTTGTAAACGAAATGACTGACATATCCGAAAATTCCGATAAGAATCAAATATTTATAGATTGTTCGTTGATAAAGTAAGCGTTTTGTAAATCGCTCTTCTTTCATTCCTAAGAAATGATTTCAAAAGTTTCATCAGACATTTGTTGCGATTTAAAATCAATTAGTGCTTTTTTATTGTAATTTTCCATTTCAATAAACGTTGTCACATGTCAAATAAGGTATTATGGCAATATACAATTAATTTCCTTTACAAACTTTTGTAAAATTTAATTTTCAGTTGACGACTTTCTAAATAATTCTAAAAATTTTCAATCAGTGTTTTTATATGGAATCTGTGAGTTAGATCGCTTTTAGTTTATTCTTTTAAAAATGCAAAGGATTCAAATTGTTCATATGAAGACGATAATCATTTTCACAAGGAAAGTCTTTTGATTTGTACAATATACATACATATCTAACATTCCTAGGTATAAACCATGGGCAAAGCATGGTTGTTGCTTACAGTCAATTATTTTGACAATATTTTTCATTGTCCCGTCTATTATAAACTTACAATTTAATTTCTGGAGATGCAACATTAAAAAGTGGCAGACAATTATATTATGTCGACATTTTTTTATAAATGTATGGTGCGCTAAAATTCGCCATCACAAAAAAGCTGAATTTAATAAATTTTAGTTTTATACCCAATTTGCACGATAATTTGATTGAATGTTTGAATTGTTGCATTCATGAAAATTAAACTCAATTATTTAAATTCTTGATGATTTTTGATAATTTTATTTATTATTTACACAATTTTTTGTTATATTTCTTTACAAAAATTCACTGGTTTAGGCAAGAAATTATATTTTTACTTAAATATGTTAGTTTGTTCGATTATTATTTAATTTAATGCATTTAATCCTAAATCTAAGAATATCAAAAAAATATATTCGAAATATATACAAAACAATAAAAGAGAAAAGAGTATAATTTACATTAGACTAAAGTGGATAGTTCGTGTAACGAAGTGCTAGTAACATTGCTCATATCCAAGGTGGGTGGTAAGCCAGGACTCACAGAGCCACTGGCTTCACGAGCAGTTGCACCGCCTAGAGTCGATAAACAACCACCGTTGGCAATGGGTTTTGGGGTAGGCGGCGTAGCTGTAGAAGGACGCATCATAAATGATGAACTTAAGGCGGTTAAAGGGTTAAAACTTCCATGTGAATGATTCGGAGATACTGGTGTTATAGATGTTGGATGCAGAACTGTAGATATGTTAGATTGATTAAAATTGAGATGAGGCGGATGAATGGGATGAGGATTAAGAAATTGAATAGGTGGTGTTATAGGACCAATTTGTGACACCATCGACATGTGATTAAGGGGAGCACTACGATAACTAATGGTTTTCTCTTTTTGCCAAACGAAAACATTGTGAACCATTGCTGCACCACAGAAAATAATACCGATTCCAATTAATACACTCGTAATTATGGCAGGTGTTGAGTGGAAGTGATTGAAAGTATATAAAATAATGCCTAGAAAAAATGCAAAACTAATTATATATTATCGGAATAAACCTCGTTTTCTTAAACTTTACCTGTTAAGAATATGGGTATGGATATAAAGAAACCGCCAACAGCACAAGTTCGACTAGTGCTAGACTTTTCCAAATAACGATTGTCTCTAAAAAAGAATAAAGAAATTAAGTATAAAGTATCAATAAAGCTAAAACTTCTAAATTGTTTATTTACCGTCCATCAAACATGGGTGAACGCACTAATTTGACAGCAAAAAGGAACTGAATTGCACACACCAACAGGCAGCAAAGATTTAATGAGAGAGATAAAGCGCATAGCGCCAAAGTAACATCATAAACTATAATAAAATCCTCGGGAGAACTTCGTGTTAAGGCATCTTCGCGGGCATTTGGCGATATTTTTAGTAAAAATATTAAAGACAACAATGCCAGTAGTAGGGAAACTGGAAATAAAAAATACATACTATTAGCATAACCAGCATAACTGTAGATAGATAGATAGATAGATAGATAGATAGATAGATAGATAGATAGATAGATAGATAGATAGATAGATAGATAGATAGATAGATAGATAGATAGATAGATAGATAGATAGATAGATAGATAGATAGATAGATAGATAGATAGATAGATAGATAGATAGATAGATAGATAGATAGATAGATAGATAGATAGATAGATAGATAGATAGATAGATAGATAGATAGATAGATAGATAGATAGGTAGATAGATCACAAACTAAGCATTAGAAAACAATGAAACTTACCCAAACATAATAAACCTAAACTAGTTAAGGCCTCCCTGGGACCGGGACCATGTTTCGATTGATTTATTATGGCACCAACAGGATTCGTATAATTTGTATAGTTCGTATGATTGGTGGTATTATTTGGATTTAAAACGGTACTATTCACCAAATTACCGTTACTTGTACCGGCATTTGTACCAGCAACTGCCGCCGCATGAGCCAAGGCAATATGTTGATTTGTGTAGGTGTGTAAATTATTACCGATACCATTTAGCCCATTTGGGGTAAGATGATTTATTATCGGTGTTACTGATGTAGTAGTGGTTGTAGTATTAGTCGTTGTATTACCATTTCCGGTTGGTGGTAGTGGCAAAGGTAACGTTGGTGGTTGTGGTGGTTGCTGCTGTTGTTGTTGATTGCAAACATTTGTTGAGGGTGATGCAATATTAAGTAGGGTTGATAAACGTGGTCCTCCATTAACGGCTAGCGTTGAGGCGTTTGTCGTTGTCGTCGTTGATGTCTGCAAATTGGTGGCATTCAGTGTCGATATATTCAAAGGTTGTTGTGGTCTTAGGTGTATATTGCGTGCTGTACTTGTGGTAGAATTATTACGAACTTGACCATTTGCTGGTCCACCAGCATTCGATGTATGTTTCAACATTTAGAGTTACGATCAGTTCTCATGAATAACAAATGTTAATGTGTGTGTTACATTGTGACCCATTTGATACTGAAATTATAGGAAATACTTTTTTAATTATAACATTTAATTTTAAATTGAAAAATCTGTTAAAAATTTGCAGTAATCATTGTTTAATTTCTTGTGTAAATTTTCATCAGGTTATACCCTAAATTTATCTAACTTCCTTTGATGGCATAACTGCTCTTTATAAAATTACAGAGAATGTAATCATTATAAGTTTTTTAAGATACATGTTAGAGATTTCACTAGAAACTAATCAAATTATAAGAAAATCAAGAAAAGTCAACGAACATAAAACCGTAGGCGAGATAGATGATGCATCACTAAGCAACAACACTTTAAAAGCGGTTAATTAAAGTGTTTCGTTTTCAGTAAGCTTACAAAAATGCAGCATTCACACTTGAAACTTTAGCAAAAATATCACATTAGCTTCCCAGCAGTTTTAGATGTAAATGTATCCCTTTTATGTAGAAAGTAATTGATTAGATGAATATAAGTTATATGTTTTTAATAAATCATTAATGGAAAGTGAATTCTGTTAAGGCATTTCTTCCAATTCTGTAGCCTTAAAACATATTCGAAACTATGCGAGACTTACACCCAGAACTACTGGATTACATTAGTATTCAATAGTATACATAAACTTAGCAACATTCAAACCATTTACATTATAACAACAATATTTTTTTAGAAAAGGTAAATGCCACTAATTGTTGCCATTATTACACATTACGGTGTATATATCGTGAACTGAAACTGAACAATAAAAAAACGAAAAACCCCTTATAAAACAAATGCAGCAAGTGAGAAAAAATAATGCAAGTGCTCTTGGATTGAAAGTTTGCAACGGTTGCAATGACGTTGAAAACAAAGTACACGTTGAAATAACGGAAATTCTTGACTTTGACTTTATATAGGAAAAAAACACAAGAACAAGAAGGAAAAAAATAAAATAAACGTTTTATTACTTCCTTGGTTTCCAGCAGTTAAAAGAAAAGTAAAAATCAAATTATTCTTTGGCCAATATCAATTATAAAATTCTAACATAAAAAGAGTAAGACTTGCCAGGGTTTTGTAGAGGTATCTGGTAAGAATGGGAAAGCTTTAAGTCTAACACTATGCAAAATTGCAAGACTTCAGCAAATGTACTATGTATATGTAGAGAAGTACTTTTGCCCCGTTTTTAAAGACATTTGAAATATGTAAGTATGTATATGTTTAGTCCACATTTTCATAAAAATTTGTATGCATATATGATGCAACATGCAAGGGGTGCTACTAATACCTCTAGCCTGCCGGGACTAGGAACTGGTAGTATCAAATGTATCCTCGGCATTTCCTTGCAATGATTTGTCCTAGAATAGAACCAAGAAACCTTTTAATTTGGTACCACGGGAACCGGTAGCAAGCATAGTTTTGAACTTCGTCTTGTCCCGGTTATTGAATAGGTCCCTTTATAGTGCACATGCACAAACTCGCGGTTTGATACCATTGAATTCTCCTTCCTTGTCCGGGTATGATCAGGGTTTACTCTGTTCATATCAGATTTATCACAGTGTGTTCTACGTGAGTAAGAACAACGTCTTCTAAGAACAATGTCAATCCATCAACAATGTTGTTTGATGCATTCGTATTTCGGTCCGCCTAGAGAAAGTCAACAGAGGTCATCCCATTTGATTGGTTGTAAACGAAAGTGATGTTTTTGCATCTCGGAATTTAAGCAACGGGGCAGCAATGGTCAAAGATTATATAGCTGGAGTACTTGAGCAAAGTGCTTGTACATGGACCGGAAAAACCGCCGGCGTATAAGAAACACAAAGGGACGGTGGTGAGTCATCTAATATGCTCACCTTGTGGTTGTGAAATAAGGCCAACCCAGCAGATGTTCACGTAAAGCATTATGATCGGTCGTGCTTTAAAATACAACATTTTGTCTAGCAAGCTTGCAAATCGACAATATTTAAGACTGAAACTAAAATCAGTACTGGAATATCATCCGGGATGGGAGACTTATTTATGCCCTTTTAACTGCATGAGCTCTGGTTTGACATGCAAGAGTTACCTGAGAATAATACAGCTAAAATGTTAGCTTATCAGCCGGTGAATGTTTGGCCACCCTTGGAAATACATACATATATATATTTTCCTATAGTTCCTAGGAGGAAAATTGGGCCTTAACAAATTCTTTCAATTTTTCTCTTTCTAAAGCTTGGGTTTTGATTTCCCGCCACGTATAGCCTGCTTCTAGTGCTTCTGCGTCTATCAGTCGCCTCCATGTATTAGCTGGTCTACCTCTTATGCGGCTGCCCTGAGAATTCCAGTCCAGAGCTGAACATGCAATGTCTTCTTGGGGCTTTCTTAGAGTATGACCAAGCCACACCCACTTGCGGCGTCGGATTTCCAATGATATTGGCTGCTGCTGCATTTCAGTCCATAAAGCTGTATTAGTGATGGTGTTCGGCCTGAAGATGCGCATTATTTTCCGTAGGCATTGATTAATAAACGCTTGTAAAGTCTGCAATTCTTTGGTGGTTGCATTCCTGCACGTCCCTTATTAATTCGGCAAAGATACAAAGTTTCCAATTGAAAATGATTATAGAAAACGTTGAAATCAGCTGAAACCTTTTCGTATATAAAAACGAGTCGAAAATGGTACAGTGATAATAATTACCGGATGTGTGTTGCGCAAAATATTGAGTACAACTCCGGTGATTATTGTGGCTATTTTCGGGCTTCTCTACCGCGTATAGATAAGTACCTGTGGTGACTGCAGGGTATATGAAATTAGAGATTTATACGTAAAACTCTTCTCGCGAACACAAAGATTTTGCAGTCAACTGGCTTGTGGATCTAATAATGCATTACATGGAACTTGTTCATAAGCCACACTGTTCGTATGTGGAATAAACTTCCTGCAGAGGACTTTCCTTTCACTTGCGATGAAGTTAAATTAAATGTTTAAAAACTCTCTAAAGTGACCCTAAATAAACCCTCGCACAACATATTTTCTTACTTGTAACACAATGCTTTGTATAAGTGGATGTCATTCCCTGGGTGCTGGTCCAAAAAAATATATATAGGTAATTTTGATATCTGTATTGCCAGTAAATAAGACATCAACATATAGAAAAATTCTTTAAAATTAACACACCTATTTTATTGTCCACATGTTTGTTAAAGTAATGTAATGCTTTGAATTTAAAACAAAATCCCGTTTTATCTAAGACACAAACCAAACACTGAGGAATGCAACTGCATTGTTTACATTAAATGTTAAAAGTCACGAAATACAAAAGACAAGTGTTAAAATAAAGAAAAATTTGAGTAAATAGATTTTTTTTAGAGTGAAAGAGAGATATAATTAGAAAAAAAATTAACAGATAGACAAAATCACCTTATGTGCTACAAGGTGCACAAAGTGCAAGGTGTTTCTTTATGTTTATATTTGTGCATTTGTTGTTTAAAGTATTTTGGTTTTCAACCACCCGTTGTAAAATGATATTTAAAGGAAGGAAGAAAGGAATTTAGTTAGAGAAAACATGCCATCGAAATAAATAAAACAAACATTAAACATACAAACAACATACACACATTTAGACACAAAAAACACACCTCATTTGCACTCTACCATACAGATGTTGTTGAAACCCTAAGTTGATAATTGTCGGGGGGAATGAAGATAAGAAAAATAAAAAATAGAATGAAAACAAGAAAACTACGGCAGACGCTAAAAGAACGCGCGCGAACTAAAATTCATTCAAATTTTTTGTTGTTTTTTTTTTTATTCCTCGTGTTTTTATTTGATTGTTTTTGTTTTGCGAACTGAACGAAAGAAAACAAAAATATTTGAATTGCGAATAAGTCGTTAAAAAAACAAATATTTTTTTTGTTTTGTTTGTTGTTATATGATTGGGTGCGCATGCTTAGCGTGTTTGATGATGACGATGTTTGAGAGAGTTCCCAGATCGAACATCGAACTCCAATATAATAGTTAATTGAGCAAAAGAAACAACTAACCAAACAACTCTAGAACAACTTGAAAAACCAGCAAGCAGTTTGGAATTTCAATTACATTCAACAACAACAGTATTCATTTGTATTATTCACGAGTAGTATTATTATCCACTACTACCAATTCTATCCCAGAAAGATTTGTTTTTTTTTGTTGTATCTTGTCTTACCGTTGTTATAGCTGCGGTCAATGTGTTTGTTGTAGTTGGTATGTTTGTTTATTTTTTTTGTACTGTGAGAATATAAGCTCCCTTTGGCTGTTTTTTTTACGATGATGCGGATGATGATGATATTTATGAAAACGAAATCTCAGACAAGAAAAAATAAGAAAAATTATAATGAACATCTTTTACATACAAACACACAGGCGACTACATTGTATAGGTACATATGTACATATGTGTATGTACATGTACATGAATATTCAGTATGAGACTTCTTCTCGCATCTCAAGTATTTCAATATCTTTAAGATCCAGAATATGTTTCTTTCATGTTATCATTATGAGGTAAGGGAAAACGTTTTTCGTTTATTCAAATAAACGAATAATGAGGAACCTGGTCCTCATAGCATTCCAATTTTAAAATAATCGGGTCAACATTTCTATCTGACCACACGTAACATAGTTCTCCTCAGATTTGTATCTTATTAGGAGCCAAATATTGATTATATTCATCAATAAACACAATTATTGGTGATCCTATGCACCGGCTTCCAGTCAGCCGGTTATGACGTAACAAATGGAACATTAGTTTGTTATGACCTCACAAATAATGTTAAAATGAGATTTTTTCAAATTTTAGAACATAACATCTCAAAAACTCCATGAGCTCCAGATATTCTGAGGATTCAGATTCGAGTTTAGTGCAGTTCAGTTCTTTAAAATGGTCTTAATTATTAAAATAGTCAAGTTCTAGACCATTAACTAGCCCATTGTTTGGTCAATTGACTACTCCATCGACTAATACATAGATAACACCAATAGTAATGTAAGAAATACCAATAGTTTCGTCCACAAACTAGTTCATAGACAAATTAATGTCCTAGGGCATAGATAAGTTTTTTTATACATAATTAGCTTCACCCAGTGTGCTTTGCTACCCTAAAATCAATATAAATAAAAAAGCCACTTTACTGTTTTTTGTACCTAATTCAGTGCCAATCCTTTCTAATGATAGTCCGCCCATTTTTCTCCCAAATGTTCACATTTGCCTCAAATGAGCAAGTTTGAGGTTAGTATGATGGTACGTATTTTGAGTAGACACACAGAAAAGATTTAAATATCTTTTTTATTATTCCGGATATAACAGCCCTCACGAATACTGATTGAAAAGTTCTTAGAAATTACTTCCAGGAAACAGGGTTTCTTAGCATCGAACGATAATACATTCAGTTTTACAGGTTTTTTGTTTTTACCAACAAATATTTTTCATGAAAACGATCGCACAACAGTTCAGATAGTGGCCTGGATTTGATGTACATAGATACATTATCCCATCAACCTAACCTAGGCTATCCATTTTGTCAACATGTGTTCATATGGATGTCAAATTTGTTCATACAAATACTTTAGCTGTTTGTTGCCGTTTCTGGGATATATGACTTTTAATACTTATTTTGTATGTGGGCGTGGCCCCACGCCTACCTAAAATTCCAAAACAAGAAGTATCCTATAGGTTCAGCCGTTTAGCCGTCTATAAAGTCCAAAAAAATACATAGAAACACACATACACTGTAAAATAGACGCGTTGGAAGGCTAGTCCATAGACTAGTTAATAGTTAAATCATTATTAAAATGAGTTATTTACGGGAGCTATGGCCCATTATTAGACGATCCGGAAACATTTCATATGATTTGCATAAATACATACATATTCACTTAGTATTGTATCCCGATATCATTATTAAGTAATGAATTATTAACGATTAAGTGATATTTAGAAGAATGCTTTATATAGAAGCTAGGGTCCATTATGGACAGATCTAATTAATTTTTGCAAGATTTTGTGATAATATCGACATTCTAGAGGGAGTTATTAACAATAAATCCATTATTTGTGATTATGTAAATACATATATGTATGAGATTTTGAACCGATTTTAAAAATTTTCAATAATTTCAATCCATAATCAAAAAAAAAAGTCTTATGACAAAATTTGTTCAAATTGATTCTATATTTTCTGAATAAACTAATAAAGAATGGGAAAAAACGTAATATTTTCATGGGTTGTTTCGGAAGTTTGCTCATAACTCCGTTATTTATGGGGCGACTTTGCTAATTTTAAACTTCTCGAATGCATGTCTGATAGAAATATTTAAGATTTTTATCTCATTGAATATATCTAGGAGAGAGAGACATGATTATGACTTGACTATGACTTGACTTGACTATGACTTGACTTGACTTGACTTGACTTGACTTGACTATGACTTGACTTGACTATGACTTGACTATGACTTGACTATGACTTGACTATGACTTGACTATGACTTGACTATGACTTGACTATGACTTGACTATGACTTGACTATGACTTAACTATGACTTGACTATGACTTGACTATGACTTGACTATGACTCGACTATGACTTGACTATGACTTGACTATGACTTGACTATGACTCGACTATGACTTGACTATGACTTGACTATGACTTGACTATGACAGACTAACATGGCTAAACTGACTTTGATATCTACAAAGACTTGGAATGTATATTTACCTTCGTGAGAAGGGTATATATTTTCAGGATCCAAATCTTCAATAATTCTATCAGACAAGCTTTCTATTTAAAAGTTTCCTATTTAAAATCAGCAAAATCCGTACATAAATAGCGAAGATATGAGCAAATATCCGAGACAACCTATGAATATTTCATCTAAAAAATACAATTTTTGCATGCTTTGACAAAAAAAGCAACAACAACATTGCTTATGTACATATGTCTGGATGTGTATTGGTTTCATTGTTTTGTTTTTTTTTTTGTGTTTTGTTTCGTTTGGCGTTGTTGTTGTTTTTTGTTTTGTTATTACTAAAGTAATAGTGGAGTCGGGAAAAAATAAATTAATTGAAATTTTATAAAACTTTTATCTTTTTTAAACACACTATTGAAGGGTATATAAGATACGGCAATTCGAATAGTAAACGAAATAACTTTTTCCCCCAGTACAAATGTATTTATTAGAATAAAATTATATTTTATATTAACTATTTCATTCAAACTTAAATGAGGCTTAACATAACAATTATTTTTATTCTTACTTTGTATGGCATTTACAAGACAAGTTTTGTTTTTATTTAATAATATAATGAAAAAATAATATTATATAAAAAATATATTAATAAAATACATAACAAAAGTCAATGGTGTTTATTTTCAGTTGTATTTAGTATTCTTTAATAATACCAAACCTAATAAAAAAAAACTAGTTTTTGTTCGATTATTTAAAGCATTTTTTTGAAGTATCTATGCTTTTTTGTATACCAGTATTAAGCATACACACATTATTCTAATCTAAAGTAAAATTAATTATTTAACACTATTTGTTTACAAAACAAGCTAAGAAAAAATTCAAACAGTCATTAGTTAGTAAATTAATATTGAAGATACATATGTTTTACAAAAATGTGTGAATGGATCATATTATTGCTCCAATACACTATACTCTGGGCATACAATTTGAAAATATTTAAAGTTTTTTTTGAAGTTTGATTAATTGTTATAAATACACCTGTCAGCGTGAATCAAAACTAATGAGTATTAAATATCAACGACCAACACTTTTTCAAATATAAACCCTAAATTCTTTTAATCAGATAATGAAAATCTTTGTCATTTGATTCCTAGATAAGGGCCAAATAAACTACCCAGGTGGTAAGAAAATTTTTCTATTAACAAGTGCATGAACAATATTTGTGACTATATTTTCGATATCTAGGATAATGTGGAATATATTTAAAGCTCAGTTTATGGTGCTTAGCAGGATCAATCAGCAATAATGATTATTAATTACAATGTATGAAACCGATAAGGAATTTTTAGTTATTTGTTCGAAAACACGTTCTCAAATTACCGATTCACAATAAAGCTGTCTAGAACTAATCTACATATTGTGCCCGCATTTAGATTTAAAACCTCCCTTTAATTAAACTAATAATTAATATTTCACGGCTATTATATTAGTTAAGAATCGATTAAACTTTCATTTAGTATTTTAAACCATATTTTATTTTTACGATATTAGGCCTATTTTGACTAATGAACATGGTATGCGTTTAAATTTCTAATAATTTCTAACAGTTTTTGCTTTATTAAATAATTAATGATTTTTAAATTTCTTAAATGTATTCATTTTGAACTTGTTTACATTTAAATAATATGAATTTTAACAATTAATTATAAAATTAAGAAACGACCTACTAAATTAGTTAATTAGTTTTTAACACATTTAGGAAATATTCAAAAATGTATTCTATTAATTTGTTTGTTGAGTGTTTACGAATCTCTGAAAACTCTGGTTAGAAAAAGAGGTTCCAGCTAGTAGATGAAAATCCAAAAAGTCTATTTGAAATATAGTCTTAAAGCGTTAAATTTTTTGGTTCCTAATTAGAGATAATGCAGACAGATGAAAATAACTTTGAAGAAGATTAAAATAGATTTTCGAAATAAGTGGATCCAAATTGTAGAATATATTGTCAAGTAGAAATTTGTACTGTAATGAATAATTATTTTTTATATTAAATCGAATCATTTCAAAGTTTTCAGAAGAATCGCTCCATATAAGTTCCTATATACCCTTTTTAAAGAGTCAGTTTGTCTTTAATAACTCGCTTCAAAATGTCGTTACCGAGATAAAATTCGATATAAATATTTTATACAGGCCTGTCATGCTGTTCGATCAGAATGGTTTCATAGTTATTATTCTGAACTACTTTTGAGAGCCATGTTTCCTTGGAAATTTTGATTTAAACGTTAAAAATATCCTATAATTGCAAATAAATATCAATTTCACTTTCAAAACAGGTAGCGGTTTCATACCGAAAAGTATAATAACCACAAAGGATCAACTTTGGCTCTAATAAGCAAACATGATGACAAGTTTGACTTACAGAAGGGTTCAAAGGGGATTCCCAATACCTCTATCTTTCAGGAGGAAATTTACTATATTTATCTGTGATAGGGAGTGCTTGAGGAGGAAGATTAGGGGTTCAAGATTATTTATTATGTGGGATAGTCAAGCATCACTATAGGGTATTGTAATGGACTGTGTGAAATCTTTTAATGAATTAAGCGGATATAATAAATTAACATTGTGCCGGATACCTTTCCAGATGAAGGTAACTCTAGCAAGGAAATGTAAGGTGTTACTCCGAACTTGGAAATTCTTTGACCTTTGAATACTTGCGAATACATACTGTGTAATTGCCCATCAGCAATCAAGGACTTTCAGTGTTGCATTACTAGCTCCAGAAGAGTATTTTCAACCACTCACAGATTAGATACAAAATCGGGTCACAGTGTGTAGTAGAAATGGATTTCTAATCTAAAGAAATAAAGTATCGTTTTTCACTTTCAATAGAGTTCGCACCATAATTGATTCAAATCCACATATAGGACACCCCTTAAAAGTGATGTATAATTTACTCAAGTCCCAGTACTGAACTGTTTTCCAATTTTTTGCGATATGCTTCTTAACAATATCCTAAAACATTTTTTAACCTAAAATTTTGTGTTCTAACCTTTAAAATGTTATACACCTGTATTGTTAAATTCTCTTACAGGTGCATAACATATTTTGACTAAAATTCATATTTAATTACCAATAGAAAAGAGACATTAAGCAGGTGTTACATTACCTTATTAGGAATTGTACATAATGTACAACAATTTATGAAATAATAAAACAACTTACCTCAATGTAAGAGAGTTTTTCAGTTTTTCTCATAATAATCCAATATTTGTAAAATGCTGAATTTGTAAATTTCAGTTATTCTGGTCGCAATAAATAAAGTGTTGAGTTGCTCAGCTCTGTTCATATGAATTTTCTGTAATTTGCAATGGAAAATTGCATGTCTCAGCATTTAGAGGAATTTTGTTTAAAAAATGAAAACTTTTTTTATTGCGCACTACACCCAAATTTGGTTTTGGGCATTGGGCACACACACACCCAATATGATATTGTGTATAACTTTTTCAAATTATGCGAAAAATTTCCGCAAAATTTTTCTTTTTTATTATTATTGTTTACACATACATATTAACGAAAAAAGCGATAATTTCAAATTTGGAACACGAACACATTAATAATTTATAATATTTTCCACTTTATTAACGCCATAATTGAATTTTTCAGTTGTATAATTTTTTGTTTGAATTTTTGTTAAAAAGAAACTAGGCATTTATTTTAGGAGCCTTTTCTGTTGCTGCTTTTCGACTTATGTATATATTAGAGGTGTATGTGTAGTTTAAGCAATTGATCTCCTTACTACTCTTTCCTCTTGTTTGGGCCACCAATATTTTAAAACCACTTTTTTTAAATTTTATTTGCCTTTTTTTCTACACTATAGACGCCAATTTAGCCGCGCGCGTTTTTTGAAAATTTTCAGACTTTTATTCACGATCGTGTTTCCAACATGACTGAATGTATAATTGAAAATGTATAGCACTCATTCTTCCATTTGGTTTGGTGGTGGTTGGTGAATGGACACCGGTGGTTACGGCAATAGCAAACAACATATCCAGCAGTGTGTGTTCGCTCACTTAAACAATTCGTTGTTGTATGAGAAGTTATAAAATTTGTGCTGCAAACCTGTTAAATAATTTAAAGTTGGAGTTCGAATTGATGTGCTTGTCTGACTGTCTGTCTATGCGTTTGATGGTTTAGCTGACTAACTAACTGACTCAACCGCTTAAACATATCAAAAATAGATTGGAAAAAATGTCAGGACTTTGTAGAATTTGATCTTCTAGGAATACTTACTTACTTATCTTTCAGTTCCAAAATGAGGTAATAACTAAAATGACAGATAGATAGATAGATAGATAGATAGATAGATAGATAGATAGATAGATAGATAGATAGATAGATAGATAGATAGATAGATAGATAGATAGATAGATAGATAGATAGATAGATAGATAGATAGATAGATAGATAGATAGATAGATAGATAGATAGATAGATAGATAGATAGATAGATAGATAGATAGATAGATAGATAGATAGATAGATAGATAGATAGATAGATAGATAGATAGACAGTGCACATTCGAGATTTTATAAGAGTACTTTCTGTGGGAGCTAGGTGCAAATGAGACCAGATTATTTCGAGAAATTGATTGATGATTTAGGATAATATAAAACGTAGTTCTGCTTATTTTAGTATATATATCATAATTAAGATCTCAAAAGTGCATTAGGGGTCCGGATGTATAAATAATGAACCGATTTCAATCATTTTTCTAAAGGCTTCGTTCTTGAGCGAAAAAAGTGTAAACAAATGATCTTGAAATTCTTACGAAAAAGGTTTGCATACATACATATGTATTTAAGTTTCAATCAATCAGAGAGTAATTTTGAAAACATTGGTATACTTTAAGGACCAATACTTTTGTGATTTACAAATATCATCTCAATGTACAATACGTAGTTTACAGTATAAGGAATAAGTTTCGCAAAGAAGAAACATTCTTTAAAACTTCTGTACTATAAGAAATATTCGATAAATTGTTTAGCTGGTTGGTTGGTTGATCGTTCGAACGATCTTGTTCATTCGCTTGTTTCGTCGGTATGATACTTTTCATAATATTGTTGTTATTGTAGAAATTCCACATTCCACACTCTCTGTAAAAATTCTAGTAGAGCAAGAAGTTAAAATAAACTTTTTTCTTTCTTATGCTGTTGCCTTCGGACCTTTTTTATTGGAAAAAAGAAAAAAATTAAAACTCGTTAATGTTATTTAATATGATTTTTTTGTGTGTTTTGTATGAGAGTATTTCACCATTTGGTGGTGGCACACGTTACGCGAGTTTGTATTCAAGTATCTACTATCTGCAACCGTATAGAATATTTGTACAGACAAAAACCTACTCGTGTTGCAAGTGTATTTAGTAATCTGTTCAATTTTTTTCTCTTTAACATTCGGGTTTCTTATTAATTGTGCGCGAATATACTTTTTCTTTTTTGCGGTTTTAAAACCTTAACCAATATATTGCTGAGGATTGTGTGTAGGTTTGTCGGTTTGATTGCAACATTTTCGTTTTAATTGAATTAATTGTAATCTGAATCCTTTCAAATGTTGTTAAATATATTAGTATTCTTAGTAATGAAACACCATATTCAATTATTCCAGATTTACTTTCTCTGATAAAGGAGTTGTGAATGAAAATTTTGATCAGTGAATAAAAGGGCAGCTGTGAATATCAATTGAAGCTGTTGTTTGGGCCTCAGACTGAGTGATGAATGTAGCCTATTTCAAACCGAAATCTCCGTGGTGGCCGAAGCAGCAAGACTTACATCCACGAGAAATTTAATAGTGATATCACAATCTACACGATCACACTGTTATAAAGGCAGGGATCTACAGAGTTTAAACTGTACTGCGTACCGGGTGCCAATAATAAACTAGGAAACGAAATTGTAGACGAACTTACACGAGCCTGAGGAGACATGGACCTGTGGTGAATTTAAAAACAAATCATCAGATATATTCAAACGATGACACTATGGAAATAAATTGGAAAAATATGAACTATGCATGTATTTCCTTCATTTTCTCTTCCAATGGGTTGCATTATCATACTCTCGCTTTAAATTTAAACTTAAATTTTTTACAATTGTTACGAAAGTAGAGTACATTAATCTTACATCAAGCATCAGTCTAGTGTGTGACGAATCAATGCGAGACTAGAGTCATAGGGCAACATAGTACATAGAGGGTTTACTATGGATCATCAATTTCGTCCTGTGAATTCGAACAAACTTGCGAAGTCCTCCTTCATCCCAATCTTGAGCAAACACGCGATAAAACGAACGTATAATTCGAATTATTTTCGAAACGATTTTTTAAAAACGTGAAACAATCGGATGTCCTAGATGAAACAAAAGTAGATATAGATTATTAAGCATAACCACAGATTTGATGACCTGGCATCCCGTAAAGTACTATTGTAGAATGTTTCTCCATCTTGTTAAGTGATGTTTGGCATTAAAGGACCAAGTTTGATGTTGTCTGTGCATACTTAGACAATTTCAGCCCCATTAATTGATGGCTTATATAGTACAATCTGCAGAATACTACACTGATCATGATGTTTGAAAGTAAGAAGTACATATGCACATACATACATGCTTAATAAGTATATAAAAGTCTACTGTCCTACCCGTGATGAATTCATTCTTTATCTTTGTCTTATCGACGGAGATGTTAAGTGTCATACTTGTTTGGACAAATAAGTGAAAAGTGACACTGAAGATTTCACAGTAGATAAAGCTAAGTAGCGTTTGCTTCTTATCAGGCCTCTTACACAATTCGATAGGATATTGCTTTCCATCGGAATGGAATTCTGTAACACTCCTTGATGTAGTCGATATCGATCTTGCATAAACTGGAAAGAGGTCTAACCAGAGAACCACACAATCTGGTACTACGGGTGTCTGGTCAGTTGGTTGAGGTTCCTTCGGGATCCACGTAGTGGCTGTGGTTAAAACCCAAATTCGCGGGAAGAGTGAGTTGCGGTAAAGTCAATATTTCGGGATAAGTTTGGTGCTGTTGCCGAAATAACAGCTACCCCACAGAGGAGTGGCTGTGGGACTAAGCGTTGGAAATGGGTTGGTGTCAATTGTATATGATACGGGATGAATGTAGAGGTATGCGGGCCTCGCCCTCCCGTATATCTAAATGAGTGTGTCGTATGTTTTTCTCTTATGAATGTGTCGGATAAATGGGAAATGTGCTGGGTTGAAAGATGATGGATGAAAGGTATCATATACAAGTGATACCATTAAATTTTCCTTCCTTGTCCAGATATGTTCAGAGTAAACTCTGTTCATATCAGAATTACCACAGCGTGTCACTGTGAGTAGGAACAAAGTCTCGGCTTATTTGATGGATTCGTACTTCGGTCTACCGGTTATGTCTCTAGGTGCTGTTGCCGAATCAACAGAGGCCATCCCATCTGCGTGGTTGTAAACGGAAGTGATGTTTTACATCTCGGAAGTTAAACAACGGGGCAGCAATGGTCAGAGATTAAGGCGCCTGGAACAATTCGTTCTTGGTAACAGTTCAGAATTCTGCTCCAACCGGCTCTTAACTGTGTGAATGTAGAAAGAGTTGCCTTGGTAATTGCCTCTCACTATCCAAAATCGCAGGTGGATGTTGATTTAAGACTTTATTGCGCCTGTAATGCAATGCCTTCTGTGCGTTAGATGGGATGACGTCCTGGATGCCTGTAATATAACTCCGGAAGTCTGACCGAATGTGTCGAGGGGGATCTTCCATCGAAATTTGATGGTTGGGATGGGATGGCTGATGACATGCCACCAAGAATTGTTTAGCCAGTAATACATTATGTTGCTTGAAAGACAGCATCCTGGTTTCCTCGTGTAAGTGATCCACGTTTGTCATCTTTACACATCCGGTTGCAATTCGGAGTGCATTATTTTGGGATGTCTGCAATACTCGCCAATGTGTGACGGAGAGTAGTTTATAGTAATGACAGATACTATTAAGGTCCAGATCTAAGCGCTGTGTGACCAATACATTTGCGATTTTATTACCCCGTATATCAGTGTCCTGCTACGCAACACAACCTTACTGTGTATAACCCAACTAATCTATCCATGGTTTATCTTCCAGATAAACTCCGCCTTTTGGCCTGACTCCATCTTGTTCCATTAGTAAAGACTGCACTTCAGATTCAATCCACTCTCCTCTACTAGGAAACACTATTGGATATGTAATTCCAAACTTTAAAGTCGTAACTAAATGTTCAGAAATACTTATAGTAGTTCTACCCATCCCCGTTGGACCTCGAACTGTATACTAACGTGACCTACACGCTGTGGTCTTACCAGAGATGATTTAGACAGTGTATGTTCCTAGCCGCCATACTCTTTTAAATAGTTCTCAATAGAAGGCAGTTTTGAAATAATACAACCAGAGTAGTAGTGACCATCTTCTAATTGTTATCACCCCTACTCTGATTACTTAAATAATGTTAACGTTATTTGAATATTATAACTTAGCATTTAATTATCTGAAAAAACACAATTCTTTAGAAATTAAATAAATAAAAGACTACATTACCTTTCTAAGCTGAGAGATTGCAAGATTAGACTTTTAGGTGATAAAAGGTGTAAAAATGGTGCGTCTATTTATGTTATTATATTATGCTTTCCTTTGTGTGTGTTGAATAAAACAATTTTTGTTATTAAATTTAAAAATAAAGAACAAACTTTATTTGTTTTACTTTAAATTATATTAATAATAATGTTGTTGTTTTCGAATTTTTAAACGTTTTTTTTTTTTTTTTAATTTATGCAACACACGTGACACCATTTATTGTTGTTTTATTTCAGTTTCTATTATTTGTTTGCTTCATGATTATTTTATTACGGTTTTATGTACATTACATTTTAA